AAAATGTTTTCTTTTTTGTTGAGCTACTTTTTTTGTGGTACAAAAAACAAGATTCCAGTAGTAGTCTTTAGATATTGATTGGATAATTCTTTGATCACAGACTTTATGATTGACAGAGCTATCAGCTGTTGTGCTTTAGCTCTAATTTCCACAGCTGCCTGCACTATTAATACACTTCTAAACACATCACACCTGTATATGCTGTATACTGTCTGTGTGTGCTGCCTGTTGTATCATGTGGAACAGCATGTGTGTGTGTGCCAGAGATTAGCGCAGTATGTGTAAGGCCGGTGCTCTGAGCGCCTGCAGCCCTAATCCACCACAGTCAGTGTTTTTCATTTCTTCATATCTGTGCATGTCAACATTCACTTTATCTGTTTCAACAAGGTTCTCTGCTTTTACTGTTTCATGCATATTAGTATTTCTCAGTTTTTCCAGTTATACAACCACATATGTATTGCAGATCTTTCCATATTGCTGCTCTTATTCTGATTCCTGTCTTCTGGTTTCATAAAGGGCTGGGCTGTTACTCACCAACATGCCACATGTGGGGAATGAGAGCACACAAACCTTTATACAATATTTCATTCATGTGGTACATTCACAGGAATGAATACTGAGCTCCCCTGCACTTTACTCTGTGACTACATCACCAGCAGAGGCCAGCAAAATTCAGATTGTTGCTGGTAAAAATCACTACCTGTGCTTAGCTGTAATAGCCAAGATCAACCAACAGATGTCATCCTAATGCTTAAGTGTTACAGACACTGGCCCATTATTTTAGTTTCATGGTGCATTTTAAAAATTTGTTTGTTTTTAGACATCAAGTGAAGCAGAAAAGATAAAAGATGAGTAACATCTAGTGTGATGATGTTAAAGGGGAAAAACCTGATTTTAAGACACGACTCTCCACCTGACTCTGCAGATTGACCACTATACGGACTTGAAAATTAAAAAATAAAAGAAGTTCCATGGAGAATCTGTTAAGTACAGAGGATAGAGAGTGATTAGATGACTTGTGACAAAGGATTTGAATTCACAGTGTCTCAGTTATATAATGGTATGTGCCTTATCCCACTATTCCAGCTGGACACCTACAGATTAGCGAATGGAAGCCTCTGCCCTGGATTTTCTTTTTTTTCTCTCTATCAATGATATATATCATGCACATACACATGATACTACAGATGGCTTCAGGTGGTTTTGACTGGAGACATCCTGCACAAATACATAGTTACTCATAAAAAAGTCAACACCTGCACTTTCATAAAAAATCAAATGCACATGAAAAAAAAAAAAAAAAAAAAAAAAAAGAGAAAAAAAAGCTCAAAGCTTTGCGGCTATAAAACCTTAAAACATTGGGGCGAGAATTCATGCTCCGTCCCTCGACAACAACAAGCACACCAGATGCCTGAAAGACAAAGATGGAGGACAGGCCAACTGAAAATCCAGTGCCAGTAAACAACCCCATGGACTCGGTCCAAAAATCTGGATTTTTGCGTGCCACACTACACTAACTCTGTCAGGTCATGTCAAATATTTGGGATGAGGCGGGGGTGTATACATGTGTACTCTCCTGCTCACATGCACACGCTGACATACAAACACACATTTATTGCAGAAGCTTTAAATCAGTTCTTATGAGGTGAATAGGATGACCTAGAAATTAAATTATGCAGACATTCCTTTCTAAAAACTGGGAGCATGTTCTGCATCTACAATCATATACTGTGACTACACACCAGTGATCTGCAGAGTATCAGTGTCATCAGACTGTGGGTAATGTTGGTACCATAATCCCAGTGCATTAAATCTGTAATAACACTCTTATGAGTAGTATATGAAGCCTATCTGACGTCACACAGAAATATAACATACTCAGCCCTTCATTGAGCGATGCAGTGTGGAACAATGCCTTCTGACCTTAAATGTGAGCTGATCTCTGGAACTTATAGAACAAGAAATATCTGTAAGATCCATTATGGGGAAGTCAAGTCGAGGTTAATCAAGCCGAACCCAGCTGAGATGAGCTATGACTGGAACACAGCCTGGGGGGCAGCTGAAATCATCTGCCAGATCCACACATATTTGTCAAAACACTTTCATCCAAGGTCACTGATGGTGCCATCCGTCTATTATCTGTACCGCTTATCAGCTTGAAGGTCACGGGAGGAGCTGGCACCAATGGAAGCCACCGCACCACCAGGCCACCCTCACTTACAATGACTGAAAATAAAAGAAAAAACAACCATACACTCCATTCTCAATGTCAGCTTTTTCCTATTCCTTTCCTATTTCCTACATTAGAATTTATACAAGCACAAACATTTATTTGATCTAAATCTGACAAAAATCATTATCATCC